TTCAGGCCCAGCTCCCAGGACCCCGGGCGGGATGATGCCAGCTTCCCCAGGGACACCCAGGTGCCCCCAGCTGCCAGCAGGACCCCCGCTGAGCCCAGAGCTGGCTGGATCCAGCACCCCCATGGCAGGGGCTCAGCATGCTCCAGAGACTCTCCTGGGTCCAGACTCTCTGAGTGGGTGGGATGAACGATTTTATTACCTGTATCTCTTTTCAGGTGGCAAATTAAGAAGTAGCCCGTGTGTGGGGCTGCCAGTCAGCAGGACAGGGACAGTCCGGGGAGCAGGAGGAGCAACATGCTACAGGCCTGGTGGCCAGGGACACAGACGTTAGTTTGGCAGCAGCATGGAGGTGAAAGCCCTCCACCAAGCAGTGAGCCCACACGGGTCCGGCCGCAGGGCTGCAAGCAGGGTCCGCAGCCGGGATCAGTCGGGGGAACGCAGCACTCCCTCAGCAGCCGGGACCTGGTGCCGGCAGCCAAGCAGCGGTGGCTGTCCCCAGGGGGTCTCACAGCCAGGGGAAGCGTTTCGAGGGGCGAGATCCCATCCTGAGCTTGTACAGAGGTTTGGGCACCTGCAGACACTAAGTATGTGCATAGCCCAGAGGCCACGCAAGAACGGGCCTCTCCGTTAAGGCGACAGACGGTGGCTCTCCCCCTTGCGGGGGACTGGAGGGAGGGGACTTTGGGAAAGGGACCCTCTTCCAGCCCCAGCTGTCCCCTGGGGCAGATGACACACAGGGAACCGGGAGGGACCTCCAGCACAGAGGCTGGGCATCCCCCCACTGCCAGGGGATCCCAGTGCAGATCCTGCCCCGTGCCAGGGTGACACTGTGTGCTGCCAACCCACATCAGCAGGGACGGAGCCACGGGAGATGCTGCCAGCTGGACGTAGCACCCGGCGCTGCCTGCAGTCCCAGCAGACTGCCGGAGAGATGGGGAACTTCTCGGCTGATCTTTACAACAGGTGCTGTGGCCTGGCTCACCCTGTGCACCCTGTCCCGAGGGCAGCATCCTCCTCCTGATGTCTCAGGAGCTGCAGAAATTTTGTGGAGCCTGGGGACAGCCTCTCCTGCCACACGCCAAGGGCACACAGGGGTGTTCGTACCCCGCAAGGCCACTCCAGCCCCAAGGGATGGAAAAGCAGGACATGGCTCCGACCAAAAGGGGGGAGAGGCAGCTAGTAAAGAGAACTGGTGGTCTGTATTGCTGTGACCACCACGGTCCCTCTGTCCTGGCACGCAGCTGGCCCACGGGGAAGGACAGAGCAATCTGGAGGAGGCACAGGGGATTTCCTGCTGCCTCTGCTAGAGCCTGGGCTTGTGGAGGAGGAGGAGGAGAGGGGAGGAAGGCTGGGAGGAGAGGAGCCAGCTGTGCTCGGCAGGGTGCCCCAGCGAGCCGGGCTCAGCAGCCCAAGGTGCTGAAGAAGGCATTGGCTTCCAGGAGCAGGCCCTTGGCATAGATGCGCAGGGTGTAGAAGAGGGTGACGAAGTCCTGAGTGCTGAAGAGGGTGTCAGCCAGGGCGAAGGCGAGCGTGGACGGGATGAAGCCCCGGCCGTACTCCACCATCCAGGTTCCCGCGCTCCACTGCACTGACGTGGCCTCTCCTGCCTGGTGCACGATGGTGTCCCCTGCCAACACACACAACCAGCATGGCTCCCAGTGGCTGCCCTGCATCATGCCCTGTATTGGGTCTGCATGGCAATGTTTTGGTAGTGGGGGGGGCTACAGGGGTGGCTTTTGTGGGAAGCTGCTGGAAGCTTTCCCCATGTCCGACAGAGCC